CACAGAGAACTTTTTCACATCCATTTTGTCACAGCCCTTCAAATTTCAGTCAGATCAAAACAAGCCCAGTCTGATTACAGTCCAACCTCCCAAAACCTGCTTATTCCTTGTTTCAATCCAGTAAACCACCTTTGAAACTCTTCCAATGCATTTACATCCATTCTTAAATAAGGAGACACCTTTCAGTTCTTCTTCAGACTCATTCTTTCAAAAAAAGTTAAAAGTCACTTTGAACAGTGAGTTAATGAAAAACATTGAGAGATCATATCACTTTGGATAAATGAACAGCAAGCCACCTGAAGAGATAATTGCTGGATTTTCTGCTAATTTGAGTTTCACAATCTAGGAAGAGAGAGAGAGAGAGAGAGAGAGAGACAGAAGCAAGTTCATTCAGACAGAAGCAAGTTGATTTTAGATAGAAAAGGCCTATAACAGCAGAGGAGCTGTTCATTTAACAGTTTCAAAAGAGCCAGGGCAGAAGGGGAGAAGTGGGGAAAAGTCCTAAGTTATCTAGAAGAGAACTACAGAAACAGAAGACTGTGTTGTTAGAGAGGAGGACTTCTTACAAAGAAGTTGAAGATATGACATTAAGAAACTCATGCTAAGAAGCAGGTGAGCCAAGCTAGCAGCTTGTTTAAAAGCTCTTTAGGTAGCGGCATAAACTAAAGAAAATAGAATGAAGCAGAAATTTGCTGAAATACAACAGGTAACAGCAGTGCCAGCTGAAAAAGGAGCTTTAACATGGGGAGACATAGGTGACTCTTCACTGAAGTGAGAGTATCTGTACAATTGTTGTTCGGGTAAGAGTCGACTATTTCCTTGACATTTTTAATTAGACAGTTTCAAGTAGTTCCTGTGTAGTAAATAGTTTGTATTTTGCAATAAACTTTTGACCTTTTATTACAAGTACATTGGTGAATTTCCTCAGTGACTGTGTGGTAAATAGAAACTTATAGTCTATCAAGCCAGGTTTCACTCAGGGATCGGGCATGTCAAGTATCATCATCACCTGGGATCATGATAGCACATCAAGAAATATATATATATAAAAATTCATAAACATTTATTTTGAATTTGCTGACTTAAATAAATAATGCAAATATTGCAACAAATGAATCAATCCTTAAGCATATGTAAAAACTGTTGTATAGAATATTATACATCTTGTCAGAAGCAAAAGAGGATTTCAGAATATTGCTTATGGGAAGGAGGAAAAATTAAAGAGGATGATTGTGTGTCAGACATTGAATAATTACATACAACAGGTACAGTCAATTGCATTTATAAAGCCATAAATAAAAACAAGCAAATCAGTAAAAATAAGATCAGTATGAAACGGTTTAGTGAACAATTTTAGGTTGCACTCTGTAGAATTTTAAATCAAGTGCTTAACAAGGAGGGGGGCATTCAATTATGATACTTGAGGATATTTTTATTTTCTATTTATTTATTTTATTTACTTTATTTAGTACAGATGAAAACTTTCCTATATATGTACTAAGCTACTAAATACCTTGGTCAGTTACTATAAAACTGCAGATTAGTCATGTTACAGGCAAGTGAGCTTAATTATGGAGTTTTGAAAAATATAGAATTATTTGGTCATCTTATGGATATATTTTAAGTAAATTGAATGGGCATCATCTTGAATCATGTTTTATAAAAGTTCAGAAGTGTCACAAACCAAACTTAATAGTTAAAATTTTAATTTCAAATGCAATAATTATTTTGTCCCGCGTTCAAAGCTTCCCCATGACGGGTGGATTCTGTACCAGAGTTATTAGTATTGCATGCAGCTTGATTTTGACCCTCTTCATAGAAGAATAGAACAGAATGACACAGTACAGAAGTTTTATGTGAAAGCATGTAAACTCTGTCCAAGTCCACTTCTGGATCAACACAACTAAAGTAGGAAACTCACCAAGAGTTCAGACATGGATTTTAAGCAAGATACGTTTTTATTGCATCATCATAACCAAATCTTGAAGAAAATGGTGTTGCTCAAGGTGACAGCCAACAATGCCATGGAACAAAATGCAATTATGGCCAAACAGTCCAAGGTTGAGAATAATATGGGATTGAGATTGAGGCACTGCAGATCAATACATATGATGAGCTCATACTAAGATTACTCAATTTGAATAATCATTTGGTGGCATAGAACCTGGTCCAAATTGCAGAATGACATCTAATACCTATCACACAAATGAGTGATGTGGTATATGAATTCAAGTGTTGATGTTATACCAAGTATTTGGCAGTTTCTATTGAAGATTGTTTAGATCAAACAGCATAGCACTTTGGTTGTTTACAGCAAGCAAGGTGCTGACTACTCAATCAGGCTGAGCTTGCAAAACTTGTATGTGTCCAACCTTAGATGTGATTTTGCAATTGCACAACAGTTACTGGATAATCTCTGGAGCATGCAATAAATTACACTAACAACTAGTTTAGGATTGTGAGTTGGCCTTACAGTGTGGTGCACTAAAAGCTCCATATTAATACACAGGTACCTGTTTTTTGTAGATAGAAAGAATGCACACATGCCTGTTTCAATTCAATAATAGATGATATATATTCACCAGTTTATTTCTCAGGGTAATTCTGACTCAACCTGCCTGGTTAAAACTTAAAGCCTGGCAGTTAACTGACAATCAGCATTAATAGGTTCATCATTCTTCATGACAAAAGCTTTCCCAGAGTCCACTTGCTAACCAATCAAACATTCTTCTCTCAAAGTATAAATGTTGCTTCTCCCCAAATATTTTTGTGAATTGTCTTGAGTGCTTGGAAAAATGTGTCTTTTCTTCAGCTATACTGCTCACTTCATTATCTATGGCACCCTTTTGAATAAGTGAGCTTTTGCCGCATTTGAGACCATCAGCAGGAGTGGAAGAATGCTATTCATGGTTTAACTAGTGGCACAAACTCCACTTTTTCAAAATAATTTTCTCCTTTTTCTCTCGTACCCCCAAGGCTGTTAAACAATTATATCTTTACCTTCAAGTCAGAAGGTTGCAGATTAAGCATGTTATTTAGTGGTAAGGGCCTGTTTCATTTTGCTGTCCTTCGGAGATGTTCTTACAGGTAAAAGATCCTATTACATTATCTAAAGAACACCTGGAGCTGACTGTCCTGACTAATACTATCAGAAACAGATTAATTGAATAGCCATTTGGGCTGCACGGTGGCTCAGTGGTTAGCACTGCTGCCTCTCAGTGCCAGGAACCTGGGTTCGATTCTACCCTCGGGCAACTGTCAGTGTGGAGTTTGCACATTCTCCCTGTGCCTGTGTGGGTTTCCTCCCACAGTCCAAAGATGTGCAGGTTAGGTGGATTCGCCGTGCTAAATTGCCCAGTATTCAGGAATGTGTAGATTAGGTGGGTTATAGGGGGATGGCTCTGAGTTGGATGCTCAGAGTCAGCGTGGACTTGTTGGGTGAAGGGCCTGTTTCCACACTGTAGGGATTCTATGATCTCTATGCTGTTTACAGGACCTAGCTATTTAAAAAGATATCCATATGATATCAAATCTTTTTTCCTCGCCACAGTAAACATTATTGAATCTTAAATGGTGTGAAACAGATCTCTCAGAAAGCTGATGTGATTTTCAGATCAATAACAGAATATCAAGATTATTTTCACTTCATCATTAAGTTCTGAGGACAGCCACCGGACTCAAAACATCAACTCTGCTTTCTCCCCGCAGATGGTGCCACACCTGCAGAGTTTCTCCCAACAATTTAGTTTTGTTTCAGATCTCAAAAATAAAATAAAAATACTGCAGACCACCAGAATCCGGAGTGGTGGTTGTCAACTTGAGAAAAGCATTTAAGTTGTTCACAGTGGACTGTGGAGAATTTTCTCTAAAGTTCAAATGCCTAGAATATTGAATATTTCCTAATAAACACATTGGCATGATCCCTTTAACCCTGATACCTGAGAAAACACAAAGCACTAAAAAAAAACACACAATGGCATTATGTACACAAGGGACTGTCAAGGGCCTGCCTAAAAGGTAACTCATCTACTTACCTCAGCTAGCTTTCAATACATGTTGTTATATATGTGCATCCAGCATGGAGCCGGTCTCCCATAAGCATATCCACAACTTTGATTTAACAAAAGACTACACATGTAAACTAATGTTGCATAATGCAAATACTGCAATCTTTGTATCTTTTAAACTTATACCAGTCTTAATTCTGGCATCAAAATGGCTGTGAGAATAGGATCAATTTATCATTTGTCTATCCAGTTAGCTTGGGACTAGTAGGTAAAGTGGGATAATTGCCTTTATTAGCCAACACATAGGGTTTAGCAGCAGGGAGGTTATGTTGGAACTATGTAAAATGTTGGTTAGGCCACAGCTAGAGTATTGCGTGCAGTTCTGGAATCCACATTACAGGAGGGATGTGATTGCACTGGAGTGGGTGCAGAGATTTACTGGGACGTTGCCTGGGCTGAAGAATTTCAGTTATGAACAGAGATTGGATAGACTTGGGTTGTAACCTTCAAGCAAGGAGACTTGTCGGGGGGTGGGGGAAATGGGGGAATATAATTGAGATGTATAAAATTATGAGGGATATATAGATAGGGTAGACAGAGGAAGGAAACTTTCTCTTTGGTGGAGGGATCAGTGACTAGGGGCTTGGATTTAAGCTAAGGGGTTGGAGGGTGGGCGAGGGAAGAAAAATAAAATCACAGATTATCTGGAACGCACTGCCTGTAGGGGAGGTAGAGGCAGAAACCCTCATAACATTTAAGAAGTATTTACATTAGCACTGTCATGCCAAAACATACAAGGCTAAGGGCCGTGTGCTGGAAAATCAGGATTAGAATAGTTAGGTGCCTGTTTTTGACTAGCACAAATTTGATAGGCTGAAGGGCCTTTTTCTATGACAATACAAAATCTACATAACTTCTCATCTCAAGGACATCATAAATAATTGTGCTATGCTTAGTGTTCTTACTCAAAAACTTTATTAAACACATTTAAAGTAACATTTCATACAAAACTGTTTATTTTTGTCTGCAAAACAATAGATAGAATCTGAGAACAGGATTCTTAAGAGTTTTTTTTTGAGAGGGTGTATAAAATGACAGTGTAGTTGCAAGCCAGACAATGAATAAGATCAGCAGTTCATACAAAGATCAGTTACATTCAACAGATTGCACATTCAGCCATCTAGGTTTTACAGATTTTCACATCTTCCATGTTTCAGAAGGCCTTATGTAAAGCATATGTAAGCTTAACAATATATTTGCAAAGCAGAATGTTCTCTTGTCATCGTTTGAAAATCTTGCCAATTAGCTATTGTAACATCAGCTGGTGGTTTTGCACCAAAAGTGAATCTTAGACAAAAGTGGAGCGCACTTAAGTAACATGTCTGTACACAATCAAAAGCCTTCCTCAGAGTGTTGACTTTTGCTAAGGTATACCAGCTGTTCTCTAGTACACTGCTTTTGTGGCCATTCTTAATTTAGAACCTGGTCACAAAAATAGTATTCATTTGCACTTAAGCAGATTAAAAATCACCTTCTATTGTCAAAGTTTGAGGAAGCATTAGCCTGGATGAGTATAAAGTTTATAATTAACCACTGACAATGTCCATTCAGACCCTAAGAATATTCAGTTTTGATTCACTGCTCTGGATTTATCAGAGTCCATGTTCGTTGATTTTTAAAAAAAAAATTTAACCTACTTTTCTAACCAACCTGTTCATAGATGTAACTACATACCTCAGCAGTGAGTGGAGCTTGAACCTGGGCCTCTCAATCCAGGGATAGGGGCTCTACCTCTGCACCACAAGAGCATCTTGCATTGGTTATTTTTGATAAGACAATGTAATCAACAACAGGTAAAGATACAATTTATACAACTCCTCCAATTGACAAATTTCTGAGAGGATGGAAATAAATTCAACAAATAATCCGAGATGACATCACATGCACTCCCACTTCAGAAAAACTATTGAAAGTTATCTTGCAATCTCAATTATTTAAATAACATGAATCAGAAACAAAAACTTGAGAGCTTTCTTTTAGACCAACAACTAGCTATGCAAAATGTTTTTTAAAACCTTAATGTGTTTAGAAGCTCAAATAGAAACTACAGTATGGTTGCATGAATGCTCAGGGTCACTGCCACTGGAGCTCAGTCAATAACCCTGTTAGTGCAGATATTCATTCTTGCAAAAAAAAAATGGTATCGACAGAGAAATGTGTATGAATACAGAAAGTAAATTTAACCATTGATCTCAGAGGTTACAATCTTTTACCTAGTTGTTACTAAGTCATCAAGTACACTCTCAGAAATCATGCAAGGGCTTAAAAGTAGTTTCAGAGTAAAAGCAAACCACAGTCATTTTTTGGGAAGTCAAGGAGGTGCAAGATTCTAATGTTGCAAACAAGAGAGGCATTTTGTCACATGTATTTGCTGTTACTTACTCATAAAACAAAGCATATGACTCATAGTTGGACTTCACTTAATGACAACCATAAATGTATTTTTAATAATAAATAGCTAATTGAACATTAAAACTATTCAAGTGGACTTAGAACCAGTGTAAAACACTGAAAATAAAAGCAAGTTTTAACCAGTTTGAAGAGGACTCCTTTTTTCCCCTCTCCTGGAATGAAACTGGCAACAAACATTTTTACACAGTCAAAACTCACATGAAATTAAAACACTAAACTAAGACAAGACAATGAATTTCACAAGTGAACTGCAGATAACTAGATGTCATATCAGGAAACTGCTGGATTAGGATAGTGCTGAATATTTCAGAGTTTTTTTTAAACTACAGATACGAAGTTAATCATTTGATTTTGTAATCTGCTAAAACTATTAAAAACAGAGCAGCTAAAACAGGACGTAAGAGCAAAAGATGTTGGACCTAAAGCAGAGGACCAAAACTCCATGTTTCATTACTGACAGCAGCGAAAAATGAACGCAGATCAGGAAGCCAAAAACAGTCAACAAGACTTTAATGAAGCACGTGAAACTGAATTTGGAAGTACAATGCTGTCTAAGCTGTTTTCAGTTCTAATATCTTTCATTGTAGAGGAATTGTTTGTACTTGGGCTACTCTTGTTCAGCTCCTAACTGCCAGGTCAAAAGGAAAGAGAGAAAGAGAGCGAGATTGGTGGTTTGAAAAGATCAAAGAAAGCCAGAAAACATGACACTGCATCCTATGAGAAAGCAGCTACCATCCCATTTTTGACCTACCTGCTCAGAAGATGACCATGTGGTGCTTTTTGCATGCCTCCTGTTGCATCTTGTGAAATTTCCATTGGACAGGGTAGGCAAGTAGATATTGACAGTACAAAATCATTCTGATTTACAGAATAGCTGCACAAGATATACATGAGTAACTCAGCTACACCAAGACATCATTCAAATTTAGGTACGATACAAACTGAAGGAGATTTTAAATGGAACATTAATACACTACTTTGTGCATTTTGCTACCAATTGCATCAATCTCAGCATTACTCATTTATATTGTAGCAATGAACAGAACCATGGGACTTTAATTTATGATAGCCAATAAATCTGAAAATAACATGCAATTAATTTATAAAATCAAGCTGACTTTTTGAAAACAATATGGCCTACAAAGGTTGCCTAAGTGTCTCAGACTGCAGGAACATTGTCAGATGCCAATCAGGAGCTACAATGCATAATAATGCCTTGGTTCAATTGCTGGCATTTACCCAACTTAATAAAGGTATGTTGAAGCATGATTTGCATTAGTGTCAAGATCTTGACAAACTGGACGGATTATGGAAAGTAAAGGAATTCAACTCAACTTTGCTTCCACCAATTATCAAAATGTTTGTCATCATCACTTTCTAGGTTTAAAAGTAAAGAATACATACAAGAGCTAACTGCATCTCCAAGACCATAGCCAACTGGTAAAACATCTCCATCAGGAAAGCAGGGAAGGGGAGATAATATAGAAAAGTCAAATGAAAGGCTAAATGCAACATTTATTGTGGGCCATACCAAAGCAAAAATGCAAAGCTCTATTTTCCTAATAGCTTCTGCCTGAGGCATGCTAGAAATCACTCCAGGAAGCAGAAACTGATTACAAACCAAAGTTTTTAGACATACAAAAGAAAGTTGGATTCATTTAAATTTAGACAAACTTCATATTAGATTTGGAAACAATGAGAATGTCATTTTTATGATTTGGTCCAAGGTCTGAGCAGTGGGCAAACTAAAACTTGGAAAAATGGGTACGAATTTGGCATCTTAATTCAAATATATTTCCATTGCTTGGGGTTTCCCCACAAACAGAACTACCATGTTGGAAATTGCTGAATAAATTTTGAAGTCAAATATATCAACGTAACTAATTTTTTCCATTTCTCGTCGAGTTATTTTCTCACTGTTGACAAAATGTTGCTCAGTCTTCACATAAAGGCTTTGATCGTGCATACCAGTGTGCTATTGTACTGTACGATGCAACACCAATCTGCTCAAGCCCATCAACATAGTAGTCAAAAACAGAAACCCTAGGTGATTTCCCCCCTTGCAGACAAAGTAGGTGGAGACCAAGTGAAGACTTCTCATGGAGGAATTGCAAATTGCAAACTTGGAAATTAAACTTGGGACTTTGCAGATATGTACACCTTACCAATTATTTAACTATGTAGGGTTACAGAGGTTCGAAGATTGAAGAGGCATCAGCCAAATTTCTTTCCATCCAAACCAAGCAGGTATTGTGACTTCATGTGTTAGAAGAAATATACATACTAGATGAATTAACTTCAAACTGTTATTACTAAGCCAAATATTTCAAACTACTGAAACATGGGGCTGAATTATACATCAAAGAGGGTGTCCCTACCACTCAATGCGAACATGGGCATGAGCATGCCTCTGTCTGTTTCACCATGTTTTAATTTTCCAGCAATCAATGGCCATTTATAATTAGTGAGGACTTAGTCTGTGGGACGTAGTCATGCTTCAGAACTGCTGGCCAATTGGAAGCTGAAGCTCTGCACACAGGCAATGTCAGCAGGAATGATGATCACTGCTGGTGTTGCAAGTAGACAAGAAATTAGTGTTCAGGCGTGCCTGGGATCTTGCTGTAGCCAGGGAGAACGAGGGGAGGTACAGGGTGAACATAGTGAGTTAAAACTGTGTAAAGGAGCATCCAATTCGAGCGGCCAGGCAGCCTGGTAAAAGCCAACCCATATTTAACTAGGCAGGTTTTATGTTGTGTGCCAGTGTCTCTTGCTGCTAATTAAATCTGAGTGATGTGGGATGAGGGTAATTGATCAGTAGAGAGCCTCAATTGGATTGGGGCAATTGAATTACCCGATGCCTCCCTCACTGCTCGTAAAAATTGCAGCTGGATGGGGGTGTGGTTGAGCATACTGCTGATGGCGTAGTGCCCTAATTTAGAGTTCCATTTGCATCGTTTCCCACTGGGGATGGTCTCTAAAACTTAGCCCAGAACCTCAGCACGATTACATTGCTGAAGCAAAACCTGAAACAAAACTATGGCATTTTAGAATATCACAAGCATTACTTCAACATTTGAACATCAAATACAGATTTCGTTTTATGCATGATAACAGTCAATAGTCATCTAAAGGTTACCATTCTATGATGGCAGTGAGATGTGAAATTACAGGAATTAGAAAACCAAAAAGTGTACAATTAAATTGAAGGAAGTATTTAATCTATTTGATTTCACAAGTTGCCATTTCTTGGTTTAACACAATTTCCTTGCGTTTGCAGAGCCAAACTCAGCTTTGAAGAAATCTTTAGTTGATCTTTTAAAATAAAAACTGGCTATGTTAGATTAATTGGGGCTTTTTATGCCAGACACAAAATAGTTTCCAAACCACTTCAAAAAGCCAAACTTTGTATTATGTGACCTGCATTTTTAATTTTTCATTACAGCAACCAAGATATCAACGCCCAATCCAGCGAAAAAGAACTCAAATTGAGTTATTTACTCCAATTCCTATAGCATTAATAAGAGGAAAAAAAGAGAACTTGATAGCTGCCAACATACAGACACACAAAATACAGTTCATTTCTAAACTCTGAACCAATGCAGGACTAACTGAATAGAACATACTGCAACACGTTAACCTAAAGAAACACATTTATGTCCATGAGAATATTATGCTTTATACTTTTATAAACAAAAGTGAATCAAGTACATTTGGTCAGAGACACTAAGGGCTTCTAAATAATTTGCATCTTTATGGATTGAATGAGATTCAATTCCAACAAGCGTTGGAACAAACAACACAATCTATTCTTGTATAGTATCCGTACAAGACCCCGATTACACGGAACTTCTGAATTCACAGTAAAGTGTCAAATTAGTGGCTTGTGTAACTTGAAGCGGTAACAAATGTTTCTAATACTTTCAAGTGACTTTTTTAAGACTTCAGCAGAAATGTCAGTCTTATTACAAACAGAAGTTATCGTAGCAGGTGGTTATGATTGGGGCCACTGGTTAAGATGCTTCAGAACATTGATGTCTCAATCTCTTTGCTGAACATCCCTTCAAAATTTAGGTCCTTGGCCATGAGTTCCTCTTCAACCTCCTCTAAGGCCCACTGATGATCCGTGATTTCCAAAGCTTCCCATTCAGCCTAAGAATTAAAAAAAAACTTGAGGCATGTATTATTGAATATTAACTCTTCCACGCTCTTTGCTTCCCATTTTAACTTTAGGTTGTTAATTGCCTGGTTAATGTTTTCTTCCCCTTCAAATTTCTCCTTTCTGTCTTGAAGGTGCTCATTCATACTAGTGCGCTTAAATGCCTAAAGACCCTTTTCTGCTATTCTTCGCATACAAGCCCATGTTCATATTTAAGGCAAAGAATGTCAAAGCCTCTCACCCTGTCCAAGATAATGGCTAGGAAAGGATTAATGTTGGAGAATGCATTAAGCTCCACCCAGTTTGATGATGTCAGGTAGTCTGTGGTGGGGAATAAAGACTAACTCGAGAACCTGATGGAGACATGCATGTGTGACTTCATTGTCTCCGGATGGACGTAACATCTAAGTCTCATTAGCCAAACTACTTTCCTTTTGCAATCATGGAATAAACTATAGCTTGTTAAGGCAAGTGCCTCTTGTAACCATACTAATGAGTTTTAATGTCTTCCAGCACTGTTAACCAAATAGGTCCTTTGACTCAGCATAGAGGGAGGCAGGATTGGGGGACTCTTGTGACAGAGTGGTAGTGTTCCTGCCTCTGAGCAAGATCAAATCCAACCTGCTGCAGGGAGCAGTCAGAGCACAGAGCAGTAGCACAGCGAGAGTATGAAGCTGACCGAGCTCAGGGCACATTTTGGCTGCAAAACAATCTGGAGTGATGTCACAGGGAAGCTGCACTAAATTTGAAAAATACAAAGTATTAATAAATTAATTAATTGAGTTAATTAATTTATTTATATAAATTTATTATTAAGTAGAGATAGCTGGGCAGGTGATATGCTGTAGCTGTATAACGTGGGAGCCGGCAGTTCCCACTGCAAGCTGCAGTGACCACATCTGCAGCAAGTGTTGGCTGCTCAAGGAACTTCGGCTCAGAGTTGATGAGCTGGAATCTGAGCTTCAAACACTGCGGCACAACTGGGAGGAGGAGGAGGAGTACCTGGACGCTTTGTTTCCCGAGGCAGTCACACCTGGTAGATTAAGTACTTCAAATTCAGTCAGTGATCAGGGACAGCAGGGTATGATTGCAAGTGAGGCAGGTAGGGGGATCCTGGATTCAGGAATGGAGGAGCCTCAGCTCTTGACCTTGTCCAACAGGTATGAGGTGCTTGCTCGCTGTGAGGATGAGGAAAAGCGAAGATGAACCAGCTGACCACTGCACTGTGGTCCAGGAGGCCATTCAAGAGGAGGAAGCAAAAAAGACAAGTAGTAGTTGTAGGGGAGTCTAAAATTAGGGGGATTGATAGCATCCTTGGTAAGCAGGATCGAGAGTCCCACATGATGTGTTGCCTGCTGGTGCCAGGTAAGGGACATCTCTGACTGGCTTGAAAGGATATTGGAGCGGGAGGGCAAGAATCCAGTTGTGGTGGTCCATGTTGGGACAAACAACATAGGCAAGGCTGGGAAGGAGGACCTATTTGGAGATTATCAAGCACTAGGAACAAAATTAAAGAACAGGTCCTCAGGGGTTATAATCTCCGGATTACTACTCAAACCATTTGCAAATTGGCTTAGGGATAAGAAAACGAGGGACGTTAACACATGGATAAAGGATTGATGTAAGGAAGAGGAGTTCCATTTCATGGTGCATTGGCATCAGTTTTAGAACAGGATGGATCTGTACCATTAGGACAGTCTCCAGCTGAACTGATCTGGAACCACTGTTCTAGAGAAAAAGGATAAATAGGGCAGTTACTAGGATTTTAAATTAATGAAGTGGGAGGAAATGAAGGGGAGAACGACAGGAAGTATAATGGTAAATAGAAAAGAAAGCAACAGGATAACATGTGCAGAAGGGTTTAACTACATTGAAGCCGGAAAGAAGTTAAAAAGAAGGAATACTCCGGAGATATTATTAATGGAGATGTTAGAATTCAAAAAGGTATAAAAACTAGCATAAAGGCACTTTACCTGAATGCTTGTAGCATTCAAAACAAGATAGATGAGTTAACAGCACGAATGAGTACGATTTAGTAGCCATTACGGCGACATGGTTACAGGACGGTCACAACTGGGAATTAAATATCCAGGGTATCAGACTGTTCGGAGGGACAGACAGGAATATAAAGTGGGGTGGTGGTGTAGCTTTGATATTTAAGATTGGAAATTTAGAAATTCTAAGAAGAAAATGTCACTGATGGGCATAGTCACTAGGCCACCAAATAATATCACAGAGGTGGGCAATAAACAAACAAATAACCAATGCCTGTAAAAATGGTACAGCAATTATCATGGGGCAGATTTTAATCTACATGTCATTTGGTCGAACTGGGTCGGTCAAGGACTGATAAGGGAGCAAGCTTTCCTAGATCTGGTCCTGTGTAATGAAACAGAAATAATTAATGATCTCATCATTAGGGATTCTCTTGGAAGGAGCAATCACCGTATGGTTGAATTTACAATACAGATGGAAAGTGAGAAGACACAATCCAATTCCAGGGTCCTGTGCTTAAACAAAGGAGACTACAATAGGATGAGGGAGGAGTTGGCTAAAGTAGACTGGAAGTAAAGATTTTATGATGGGACAGTTCAGAAACAGTGGAGGACTTCCAAAGCAATTTTTCAAAATGCTCAGCAAAAATATATACCAGTTAAAATGAAGGACTGAGATAAAGGGGTGATCAGCCTTGGATGTCTAAGGAACAAAAACAAAGTTGCTGGAAAAGCTCAGCAGGTCTGGCAGCAAGAAAAAACAGAGTTAACGTTACAGGTCCGGTGACCCCTTCCTCAGAAGGGATGTCTAAGGAAATAGGGAGGATATCAAATTGAAAGATAAGGCATACAAAGTGACAAAGACCAGCAGAAAACTAGAAGATTGGGAAAACTTTAAAGGTCAACAGAAAGCCACAAAAAAAAGCGCTATAAAAGAAAAGAAAGATTTTGAGAGTAAACCAGCTCAGAATATAAAGACAAATATGTGAAACGAAAGAGTGGCTAAGGTAAACGTTGGACCTTTACAGGATAAGAAGGGGGATTTAATAATGGGAAATGAGGAAATAGCTGAGGCATGGAACTGCTATTTTGTGTTGGTCTTCACAATGGAGGACATGAATAATGCCAGTAATTGATGATAAGGAGACTAAGGTAGGTGAGGACCTAGAAATGATTATCATCACAAAAGAGTTAGTGTTGGGCAAGCTAATGGAGCTAAAGGTAGACAGGTCTCCTGCTCCTGATGGAAAGGATCAGGGTACTAAAAGAGATGGCGGGAGAAATAGCAAATATGCTTGTGGTCATTTTCCAAAATTCGCTGAACTTTGGGGCAGTTCCAGCAGATTGGAAAACATCAAATGTGATGCCACTGTTTAAAAAAAAGGAGGTAGTCAAAACATCGGGAATTATAGGCTGGTTAGATTAACTTCTGTAGTGGGGAAAATGCTTGAATCTATCATCATAGAAGAAATAGCAAGACATCTAGAAACTGTCCCACTGGGTAGACACAACATAGGTTCACGAAAGGCAGGTCACGTTTAATTCATTTACTGAAATTCTATGAAGACATTATGAACGCAGTGGACAACAGAGACATAGAAGATGTGGTGTATCTATTTTTCCAAAAGACATTCGTCAAGGTGCCACACAAAACGCTGCTCCATAAGATAAAGGTGCACGGCGTTATGGGCAATGTATTAACATTGATAGAGGATTGGTTAACTGACAGGAAGCAGAGAGTGGGGATAAATGAGTGCTTTTCTGGTTGGTGATCAGTGACTAGTGATGTGCCTCTGGCATCAGTGTTGGGACTGCGATTGTTTACAATTTACACAGATGATTTGGAGTTGGGGACCACATGTAGTGTGTCAAAGTTTACAGATGACACGAAGATGAGTGGTAGAGCCAAGTGCAAAGGACACAAAGTTTGCAGAAGGATATAGATGGTTTAAGTGAGCAGGCAAAGGTCTGGCAGATGAAGTACAAAGTTGATAAATGTGAAGTCATCCATTTTGGAATTGCAGTAAAACGGATTATTATTTGAACAGGAAAAAAATTGCAGCATGCTGCTGTGCAGAGGGATCTGGGTGTCCTTGTGCATGAATCGCAGAAGGTTGGTTTGCAGATGCAACAGGTAAATAAGAAAGCAAACTGAGTTTTGTCCTTCATTGCTAGAGGGATTAAGACTAAAAACAGAGAGGTCATGTTACAGCTCTACAGGATGCGGGTGAGACCACACCTGGAGTAGTGTGCAGAAAGGACATACTGGCACTGGCAGGGGTGCAGAGGAGATTCACTAGGTTGATTCCGGAGGGTTGGCTTACAAGAAGAGACTGAGTTGACTGGGATTATATTCATTGGAATTTAAAAGAATGAAGCGGGGGGATCTTATAGAAACATAAAAGTTATGAAGGGAAGCAGGGTGGATGTTTCCACTGCCAGGTGAAACTAGAACAAGAGTGCATTGCCTCAAAATTAGGTGGAGCAAATTTAGGGCTGAATTGAGGAGGAACTTCTTCACCCAAAGGGTTGTGAATCTGTGGAATTCCCTGCCCAGTGAAGCAGTTGAGACATCCTCATTGAATGTTTTTTAAAGCTAAGACAGAGAATTTTTTGAACAGTAAAGGAATTAAGGGTTATGATAAGAAGGTTGGTAACTGGAGCTGAAGCCACTAGAGAATCAGCCATGATCTTACTGAATGATGGAACAGGCTTGAAGGGTCAGATGGCCTACTCCTGCTGCTACTCCTGGGTCTTATGTGCGTGATTCTTAAATCTCTGAACAGGTAGATTAGAAAAAACAAAAGGGAGGAAAATACGAACAGGAGGGAGGGTTGAGGGGAACAATCAATGCCAACATTAGCATATAGTAAATAATCACAAATGTTCTGAAGAAGTCGTATCGGACTTGAAAGATTAATTCTGTTTCTCCACAGATGCTGCCAAATCCGGAGTTTCTCCAGCATTTTTGTGTTTACATTAGCTTGTAGTGATTGGATCTCCAGCAAATACACTGTCCATTCCTTTTCCCCCAACATATTAAGGCTGAGATTAAATAATTTAACAGACTAGATATTGATCTTGGGGCTTTCTGGTCTTGATGGCTAATCCGATTATTCCATATTCCCGCCTATCCACAATAGCTTTCAATCCCTTACACGTCAATAATCTATCTGCAAACAGTAGCAGAAGCAGAATGCTAAAGACTCAAGCCTCACAGTAAAATATTTTCATCAATTGTAAATGGGTGACCCTTATTTTTAAAACAGTAACTCCTAATTCTTGTATCTCTCAAGTGGAAAAATCCTTTTCACATCCATCCCGTCATGACCTATTAGGGTTTTGTATGATTCACTCAGGTTGCCGCTCGCTTTTCTAAACTCCAGCAGATACAAGCCTTGCCAGTCTAACCTTTCCTCATGAGGCAGCCTGTCCATTTCCTGATATATCAAGCAAACCTTCTCTGAACTACTTCCAATATATTTTCATCCATCCTTACTCCTGAGACCAATACTCTACACAGCACTCCAGAGCGTGATCTTACTAACTTTTCATATAACTGAAGCAAAAACTCCCTATTTTCACATTCATTTTCCCTTGCAATTAATTACCCTCTTGTCCTCATTATCCTCTGATTTGCTACATACAGACCTGTGTACTTGCAAATTCAGCCCCAGGCTCCATTTGAAATTTTTCCCATTGTCTCATCTAGTTCCTTGAACGGTCTTTCACAGTACATAGGAGATGTGTATTATTCAAGGAAAGTCAATGTGCCTAACTCTCACGGATAATGATGACTGAGTGTATAACATCCTATAAGTCTTACTAATTACTTGCTGCACCTGCAGATTAATGTTCATTCATGCACAAGAACACCCAGATTCCTATATCTCTCAGCTTTGCAAATTCTCACCGTATGCTTCTTTATTCTTATTGTCAATATGGACATTTTCACTTTTCCCACATTCTACTTTATTTGCCAGATCAACAGTCTTTAATTGGTTATTTCCTCTGCTTTAGAATACATAATTAAAATAGGTGTAAATCAGCATACCTTAAATGCTTTATTTGTATCAGGAGGCATTGCCATTGCAGCACCCGTCATCTGTTCCTGCATAACACGAGACTGGTCTGCAGCTAAAAAGGTGTAAGAGATCATTTGAATTCACTGGATTCCATACCAAAGTGGGACAAAAACAGATTAAACCATTTTCTAGGTCTGATAAATGCAAATATTATGTTTTCGTTTCATCCCATTCAGTTCAGAAGCATAAATATAGCAAATAAGTATGGTTTATTCTTCATGTGCAATGAATACCACAAATGCTTTCAAAATTAATTCATTTCTTGCAATTAAAAATCTTTTTAGAAACTGGAAATTTGTCTAAGCAAATGGGTTAGCCCTCTTAAAAAAGGTAAAACTACAATTACTGTTAAGTTATCAACCCAGATCCCCAAACTACATCCAATTTATTAACAAAGATTAGGTTAGGTGGATTGGCCATATTATCCAGGGATTTAAGGTTAGGTGGATTAGGCATGGGAAATGCAGTCAACAGCGATAGGATAAAGGAGTGGGCAAATTATTGGAAAGAGCCCGGAGAGATAGGATTTATGATCACTTGGAAAGGCATAGTTTGATTCATGATAGTCAGCATGGATTTGTGAGGGGTAGATCATGCCTCACAAACCTTACTGAATTCTTTGAAGAGGTGACCAAACATGTGGATGAAGGTAGAGCAGTGGATGTGGTATACATGGATTTAAGTAAGGCGTTTGATAAGGTTCCCCATGGTAGGCTCATGCAGAAGGTAAAGAGGCATGGGATAGGGGGAAACGTGGCAGATTGGATTCAGAATTGGCTGACCTTAGAAGACAAAGGGTGATAGTGGATGGAAAATATTCAACATGGTGCTCAGTTACGAGTGGTGTACCACAAGGATCTGTTCTGGGTCCTCTTCTATTTGTGATTTCTGTAAATGATTTGGATGAAGGAGTGGAAGGGTGGATTAGTAAGTTCATGGACGATACGAAGGTGGGTCGCGTTGTGGACAGTGCGGAGGGCTGTTCTAGGTTACAACGGGACATTGATAGGATGCAGAGCTGGGCTGAGAAGTGGCAGATGGAGTTTAACCCTGAAAAGTGAGAGGTGATTCATTTTGGAAGGAAAAACTTGAAAGCAGAATACAGGGTTAACGGAAAGATTCTTGGCAGTGTGGAGGAGCAGAGGGATCTTGGGGTTCATGTCCACAGTTCCCTCAAAGCTGCCACCCAGGTGGATAGAGTTGTTAAGAAGGCGTATGGTGTGTTAGCTTTCATTAATAGAGAGATTGAATTCAAGAGCCGTGAAGTTATGCTCCAGCTGTACAAAAGCCTGGTTCGGCCACATCTGGAGTATTGTGTCCAGTGCTGGTCACCTCATTACAGGAAAGATGTGGAAGTGTTGGAAAAGGTGCAGAGGAGATTTACCAGGATGTTGCCTGGAATGGAGGCAACGTCTTACGAGGAAAGGTTGAGAGAGCTAGGGCTTTTCTGTTTAGAATGACGAAGGATGAGAGGTGACTTGATAGAGGTGTACAAAATGATCAGAGGTATAGATAGTGGACAGCCAGAGACTTTTTCCTAGGGTGGAGGTAGCTATTACGTGCGGACATAGTTTTAAAGTGAGTGGAGGTAGATATAAGGGAGACATCAGAAGTAGGTTCTTTACTCAGAGTGGTCAGGGCGTGGAATGCATTGCCGGAGAGGGTAGTGGAATCGGCCTCATTAGGGGCATTTAAGCGGCTATTAGATCGGCATATGGATGATAGTATAAGGTAGGGGTGGAGGTTAGATAGACCTTAGGGTTAGGGTAAAAGTTTGGCACAACATCGTGGGCCGAAGGGCCTGTACTGTGCTGTACTGTTCTATGGTTCGGTCCGGATAGGCTGCACTTTGGAGGGTCGATGTATACTCGATAGGCTGAGATGCCTGCTTCCACACTAAGGATTCTATGCAAGACCAATATTCTACATTTTTTAACACATTTTTATACAACTGAGTTATATTTCCTCAAATTCAAAGTTCCTTTAACTCAAAGTTATATTTCTACCCTTCCAATAGTTTGTTGTTGAAGCTGCTGAAACTACTACAAAATTTCGTAGTACAGTTGATAGGCTGCATCATTATTTCCCCTTATGATAGAGTAATATCCTCACCATCAATGCAACACTTCCTGCCCAATGGGAGAAGTAATACTTTGGTCATGTAAAAATGTTGATGCAAGGTACCATTGGTTGTTGACCCAGTCAGAAATTTTCCATCTTATTATTTTCCACACTCAAATCTGGATGATCTCATTAAGGTTAGAAATGTACTATTTATCAAATAGAAGTTTTATTATGTAGTCAATAATTATACCATTCTTTTAGAATACTCTAATGTGATTGCATTAAAAGCACCAGTTAGATAACCAAATTTTCATTTTCACTCAATTTTCTCTTTCTCAGTCCACTAACTTGTTTGCAAATTTAAATCAAAATTACACAGTGGTAAACATTTGCTGACTATTTTATCATAGAGCAGGGGCATTCTGCAAAGTCAAGTGGAGTTCTCTCAAACTTTGTGAGAACGCCAGCTAGAACCCTGCCTGACTTTTCCTTTTATGTGGATTAATACCGTAAAAACTGTATCTTTTTATATTTCTGTATTTTTGATTGTGGACTGAAATGGGAAAAGAACTGTTTTAAAAGGATTCACAAAATCACAGAATCCCTACAGTGCAGAAAGAGGCCATTCAGCCTATCGAGTCTGCACCGCACTTTGGAAGAGCACCCCCGCACCTCATCCTGTAATGGTTACCATGGCTAACCCACCTAACCTGCACATCTTTGGACACTATAGGGCCATTTTTTAAAAAAAAACATGGCCAGTTCACTTAACTTGCACATTTTTGGACTGTGGGAAGGAACTGGAGCACTCAGAGGAGACCTACGCAGACACGGGGAGAACACGTAAACTCTACAGAGTCACTCAAGGCTGGAATCAAACTTGGGTCTCTGGTACTGTGAGGCAGCAGTGCTAATCACTGTACCACTGTGCTGCCCTTGTTCTCGGATTGCTGATTTTTTTTTTAAAAAAGTTACTAGACACTTGTTGAAAATGCAGTTTATACAGCTGTAGGGAAAGCCTAGCTACAGATGAACAGCAGATCTAGATCAAGATTTGGCCAGCAAAAGGTAGGTGATTAGCCTGTAAAATGGTGAACAGCTATTAAGGATAAAGACCCCCCTACCTGCTAACAACTTTGTGATCGGCTCTCAGGTAGATGAACAGTTTGGGAGTGTGAATGTTTGGACAGAAGGTATCAGATCTCCGGAAAAGAAGGAACGGTTTTTGCTCCGCAGTAACAAACATTTTATTGCCTGAGATAGCCAGTTTATTTCCCCTCATCAGTTGCTGTCAGCTGTGACTTAACTTAGTGAGAGACTTTGTAAGCGCAAACCATTCATCTTATGCTTCCTGCAAAATATGTGAAAGTATGTAAAACGAAGATTGAGAAGAAAGCAGCGTTCCCATCAGCAAATAATCATCTCAGAAAGCCCTGTGGACACAGACCACTTAAACTGCCTTCCCCGTCAGCGCACAACACTCATGTGTTTCTGTGCCTGTCTGTGCATTTGTGTGTACATAGAGGGGGAGCTTCATAAGTGGGTTAAAGTTTTAACTAGTATGGTTAAGTTAACAATACATAATTCTTTATCTATTGTTAGTATTTAGTACAAAAATAAATTCGAAGTCTTGTTAAGTACAGAAACCTGATCCCTACTTTCAAAGATACAGGTAAATTGGGGGATTCTGCGCACATTTTAAATCTTTAACTTTTGTAATGACTCCAGGAGCAGCAAGATTTAATTTCCGGCACACTACCCTAGTGAGGTGTACAAACACAATGACTAGTAACCCAGATTAGCAAACTCGGACAGCAAACCTAAACCATTCCAGGAGCAATCAGACGAATGGCATGATGCCAAGGCAACAATCAGCTCATTGAGCTCATGAAAACAAAGCTTTGTATGTGTTTGGGCAGGGGTTGGGCGTGGAGGTAGGCAAGAAGACTAGACCATTATTATCACTTCCTCAGTCTTCACTCCATCTACTACAGCCCAGTATGGACCCCTCAACAGATTAGCTCATATTAACTTCACGCCAGCTGTCCCAAGCTAAATATGATCTTTGTGGGATTTACTTAGATCATATCTGAATGTACTTAGTGCACTGAATTACTGATCTGACTCATACATTAAATTGCTGTCTCATTTCTTCCCTGTGAAAACAGAAAATAACACAGCTATTTATATCAGTTGGATATAAATTCATGCCAACCTAAAAATGTCAAAAGGTGAGTTTTTAATGGATATTCATTGAGTAAATAATTGCTGCACTTGTAACTATTAAGAAACTCAATTCAAGCCTAAATTAGGAAGCACTATCTCAGACTAAAACACAAAAGAAAAGCATTTTATTTTTGACTTGTATGAGTTTGTAACAAATGGTCAAGTACTGAATAGTATATGCAATTTTAATCACACATCCCATTGTATATAAGTTGCTGAAATATTTTAGGTGATAAAGATTGAAAACTGGAACTTCAGTTTTCCAAACATGCTTTGAATTTTTACCTCCACTCAACATGTTAAATCATGAGTGTTACTAACTAACATATTGAAGGAACAGGCTGAATAAGATGAATGATGTTTTTTTGCCTTGATAAAACATCAGAGATGGCTTCTGCTATTCATAAGATCTAAACCTCCTAATTCTTACAGGCTGATATTTATTCTCCATCATCCAGATTTCCTTTTGCTTATCTCAAAAAAGAGGCAAACTTGAAGGTAGGAAAAAGATATTTGTGATTTCTGAGCACATGAAATGCAATCTCTAAGAGATGTCCAAGAACAAATATTAGTTGTCACAGAACTTCACTGTGGAATCTTCCAATCCAATTCCAAATTGTCCCTTACAAGTGCTCGGGATAACAAATCACACCATTGTTGCAGCATTACATGTGTGTTTTGCTTGTGTAGAGGTCAGAGCAGGGTTGGAGTGAGAATGAAATCAGCAATGACCCAGGTGTTTAATTTTCATTCAGCAAAATTAAGTTGGACACACCTGCATCTCTTATGTTCAACTGCTCTTAGAGAAGATCAAAATACTCGTATGGCACAGTCGCGGTGTCCCCAGCCCTGGACCAGGAGGCCCAGTTTCAAGCCTCACCTGCTCCAGAGGTGTTTCATAACATCTCTGAACAAGTTGATTAAAAAATACTTTAGAGATGTTCAATTGGACATTTAAGATCCGTGATATTCTTTTGAGAATGGGACAGTCGCTCGCTCTTGGCTAAGAGCAGCCATTAATCCAGACTACCAAATCATTAGCATTTTAGTTTACTGACTGTTTACAAGCTTTCTGTGCATAAAACAGTCACTATGTTTTGCCTGCATGACACACCCAAGCAGTTGCCTGTACATAAAAGACATTGGAACATTTTTAAAAGATATGATAATGTGCTGTGTAAATACAACTTCTTTTTGTCCTTGCTTGCATATTTTCAAGTAAGTAGACTCCAAACAATCACTGAGATTTTTTGAAATAAAATGTTACCAACAACCATAATACCTTCCTCTTCCTCCTCACTTTGAAATGTGTTTTGGTATAATCCTGTGGTGACTGTGCATTGAGACTTGAGAACACCTGCCAACTTCAGTCTCCACAGGCTGTTGGCAAAACACATTAACAGCTCTATTTTTCAATGACTACCAGAGAACATGGAAAATAGTTCCATAACCATCTGGGTTATAGTTTAATAACAGTACTTGAATATTGTAACATTTATTTTTTCAAAAACTAAAATAAAATCTGGGCATTCAGATTGAATCTTATCATAATCCTCAGTGCACAATGAATCATTTTAAAGTAGAGTTATGTATGCAAAGAATCATTATTGCAGTGAGGTCCAAGGAACAGCAATAAGATGAAAAACTAGTTTATTTGCTTTTTAATGGTGTTGTTTGGGTGAATGTTCGCTCAGGCATTGGGGGAAATCGATGATTTTCTGCAAATGATGCCATTGCATCGTTTTCACCAACTTGACTAAAGGACAATAGCTAGACTGTGATGCACACAATTTAAAGGTTCTGATAGCAGTCATAGATCTTAGGTTATGAAGTTTTGAGAACCATGTTGTGGTAGAGCCCAATGGTCACTCAAACCCAGCTGTTATTTTTGATTATCAATTCCCAGTGTTAAAGTGTCCAAAAGATACCCTAGAATAGTTTACCAACACCATATAGGATGCAACAGAGACTATTTTGCACTAAATTCCCCAAGAGTCATACAGAACGAAAACAGACCCTTTGATCCAACTTGTCCATGCTGACCAAGTATCCTAAACTGAACTAGCCCCATCAGTCCACGTTTGGTCCATATCCCTCTAAACCTTTCCTATCCATGTACCTATTCAAATGTCTTTTAGATGTTGTAATTATACCCCTCTCTACCACTTCCTCTGGCAGCTCATTCCATACACGCACTACCCTCTGCGTGAAAAAGTTGCCCCTCAGGTCCCTTTTAAATCTGACCCCTCTCACTTTAAACCTATGCCCTCTAGTTTCGGACTCCCCTACCCTTGGTAAAAGACCTTGGCTATTCACCTTATCAATGCCCTCATGATTTTATAAACCTCTATAAAGGTCACCACTCAGCCTCCGCTCCAGGGAAAAAGATCCATCCTATCCAGCATCTCCCTTTAACTCAAACTCCAGTCCCAGCAACATCATTGAAATTTTTCCTGTACCCTTTCAGGTTTCACAACTCCTTCCTACAAGCAGGGCAACCAGAATTGTAATATAGCAATCAAAGATGATCAATTGCGTATGCTTAATTTCAGACTTTTCTTCTTTCTGTTCTCATCCAAATAAAGCATGGCTTATTTTGTTTGTTGTTCCATTCGGATTGACCAATCAACTTTTTCAGATGAGTTGCATTCTTCAACATCGCCATTTAATAGTGAATTACTGAATACTTAGATCAATGAAGCTTAAGCTTTCTTTCTTGTGGAAAAACGTCTCAATTTTATTCCATTGCCTCCACTGCAACTTTCCCCTCCTCCAAAATGTGTAATATACACCTATTAAAACATAATGATTGAATTGTCAATGTTTACCATTATCTTGTCCCAGGAGTAAAGAATACATGCTTCTGAGCCCAAACACGTTCAGAAAGTACCACGATGCAGAGCTCACCCTAAGTAAAAACAAAAAAAAAAAATCAACATAAGATTAGTTTGGAAGGAATAAACATGTTAGAAGTAAACATGACAATTTTCCTCAACTTTGTTGACCTTTTGCTACAGCAGAGGCATCCTCTAGTTAAGATGTTGAATGTTCAAACACTATCAACTATCATCTAACATAATTTTTTTCCCTTTTATCTTGCTTCTACATAGAGCTCTACCCAGTAACACGAAACCTAATCAAAGTCACACAATTGAAATGAAATGATTTGTCACTCATGCTTTCTCTCTATATTGTGTTCTTCAAATTACACTAGTCTCTTCACTAAAGGCTAGATTTCCCTTGGGATGGTTCCAGGGAAAGTGACTGTTCTAAACCTTCAATTCTGTAAAGAACAACAACATCCCAGCTCTGAATATGGAGCTACTCTTGATGTAGCTTATTGCTACATTTGAATAAGCTAATGCTATTTGACAATTGAGAAATTGAAGTACATTGAACATTCTTTTGTTCAGACTCCTTTTAATTGGTTCACAGCAGCTGAATTTGACAGTCCATTATGTCTATACAGCAAGGACCACATTCAACGATACTCTGTGGATGACAAACCACAATTTGAATTTCTCCACTCTGCCTTCATTAAAAAAACTATTTGCACCTTACTTTTTTTACATAGTTGAGAATCAAGCATTTGAAGAAACCAATTGGAAAACAGAGTTTAAGAGTTGAATTGGAGAGAGAGATTTAGGAATCATTAATATAAAATTCGTGAGGATTTTAATGGAGTCTTGAATGACCCAATTGATCTAATTTCCATTTAAAAATCAATAGCCCTACTGAATTTTTAGTAGATTGGAGTCTCATGGGTTTATAATTGACTTGCAGCTTTCATTAAACATCAATTAAAACAGAGTAGACACTAGAGAGGCACTGAGCAAGTTGAATGGCTAGCGGTCAGGGAAGATTATGATCCTTTTCGATGCATCCTATTTATTGTGAAAAGTGACCATTTTTAGGCACCATGCCCTCATTAATTTCTTCTTGATCTTGTTTTATCACAGATAGCTATTCCCTCAAACACATGACCAGACTGTTTGTGCCTTTCTCCCTAAAATCCCTTTCCCTCAAGTTGTAAAAACTGGGTTCAGCCCCTCTAAATAGCTGCTTCTCCTACTCTTTGAGGTCAGACATAAATGCAGGTCAGAGCATATTCAATTAGATTGATACATGGATTGAGTATGTTGTCTTCTGAGGACTGGTCAGACAGTTTGGGCTTGTTTCCACTGGCATTTAGAGGAGTGACGACTGGCTTGATTGAAGCATACAAGATCCTGAAGTGCCTTGACAAGGTGATGTGTAAAGGATATTTCCATTTATAGGTAAGTCCAGAACAAGGGGACACTATTTTAAAATTAGGAGTTCCCTTGTCAGGTCAGAGATGAGGATAATTTTTCCCCCCTCAAGAGGGTTGGGTGACTTTGGAACTGCCTCAGAAGGCCGTGGAAGCAGGTTCATTGAATATTTTTAAGTCAGAAGATTCTCGTTGGGCAAGGGAATTGAAAGCTGTGTGTGTGTGGGGGCGGTAAATGTAATTTAAGACCAGATCAGCTGTGAGGTTATTGAAGGGCGGAGCAGATTCTAAGGGCTAAATGGCCGATGGCTCCAATTTCGCAAGTTTGTATATGTCTGCTATTTCTCGTTAAAATAGATCTTTATTTCTATAGTACTTTTGATTCAAGGAAAAATATTTTTAGCACTTTATGAGGATAATAAGAGGTGAATACTAAGGAAGAGATGGCTGGATGCAGGTGCAAAGGAGAAAGATTTAGCAAGAGAACTGAAGATGGTGAAGTAATATTTACTGGTAATACAAAAGGAATAATACTTTGCCAAGAATGTACTACATGTATAGGTATAGTAGGAACTGCAGATGCTGGAGAATCCGAGACAACAAGGTGCAGAGCTGGATGAACACAGCAGACCAAGCAGCATCATAGGAGCAGAAAGGCTGACGTTTCGGGCCTAGACCCTTTATCAGAAAAGATGCTCCTATGATGCTGCTTGGCCTGCTGTGCTCATCCAGCTCTGCACCTTGTTGTCTCTGTACATGTATAGGTACATAGCTGGTGGAAATTGCCAAAATAAAATGCAAGGCTTAGAAACATTCGAAAATGAGTGTTAATATCAAGTCCATCACATCATTAGGATCAAGGATCAATGGGTGACAGTGTTAGTTGATTGTTTTTGAGTATGTATAAAAAAAGGAAAAGCTGGGACATGGTGTATGGGGTCAGGAGGCTTGAGATACAGTTTTTAGGCAAATAAAGTTACTGTCAAGAAAGAGCATTGTGTCTTGGTTCCCATTTCACGGTCAGGCTTGGATCCAATTATCAATGAGGATGCTGTTCTAAGCCAATAGGTTAGCTATTTTATTATTTACCTATGCGTCCATTAACATAGTGAACGATACAGAAATTAACCTTTCACCCCAGAAGGCTCCATTTCTTATGTCTTGCAAAAGTTTCACTGACTCTTTTAAAGTAACGGTTAAAGTATGGTGCAAAAAATGATCTTGGAAGTGTCAAGGATGAATGTTGATTGGCTGAATATCCTTTTCTGATTCTTGACTGTTCTCATGTATACTTGTCAACATACCAGGAAGCATCCAGTGAGAGTAGCTCAATTCCCTGCTGTAACATAGGCTTAAAACGCAGCGTCAAAGGAAATGGAACTTTGGCTGAAAAGTAAAAAGAAGTGCTTTAGTTATTTGCAAAAACATTCCATCTTCGATTTTATGAACTTACAGTTTAAATCTATTGGTATAAAGTTCAGACTTGCAACTGGACTTCTCATATCAGAGATGATCTTTCTCTGTAGCTGCAACATTATTTCCTGCATTCTGTTCTATTACCGAAGGATTTATGTAAGCCATGATTTGTCAGGTTAGCACAAAAACAATACTTTTCACTGTATCTCTGTACATGTAAAAATAATAAATCAAGTAAAAAAAAAAGTCTTGGCATTGGGACTAACATGATCTACAATTATAGATTCCCTTTGTGTTAATAAATAATAAAATTAACACCAAGACAGTGCAAAGCAATTAAATCAGTGCTTGGAAGAATTCCACTAATTTCAACATAATGGTCATGATAGGGAAATTGCAGATTGAAGTCAAGGTAATTGATGGGAAAAGGAGATGTAGTCCCTTAATGAATACTTCCTATAAACTAAAATTCAGAGGGGACATGACTCAACTTCTTGTGAAGGAATAGGGAGAAAGACTACAGAGATTGGACAAAACATATACTGTTGGGCAGCGAATAAGATGTTATATATTGAAAGTCTGAAAAACTAATCTAAAAACTTACATTAATGGAATGTTAAAAGGCTTTAACAGTGGAGCTGGTTTCTGGCATTTAGAATCAGAGAGGATTGAAAACCACAGCAGGATTTGTAGATGAAGACAAGAATTTCAAAAGCAAAGTCCTAAGGAGTGGATGCCAAAGTAAGCAAAGATGAAGATGGTGAGATAAGTAGAATTTGGCTTGGGACATGGCACAGGCAAGTTGTGTTTTGGATGAACAATACGTTTATATAAAGTAGAGAATGGAAAACTAGCAAACATTAGAGAAATTAAGTCCAAAGATGTCAAAAATTTAAATGTGGGTTCCAGTGCTGGAGGCTAACTAGAGAAAGACAACATTGTAGAGGCTGAATAAGTGGTCTTAGTGTTTGGTAAGAGATGGAGGTTGAGCTTCAGCTTTGGATTGAGGATAGTTTCATATGCAATGTACTGGTTTGAATGATGCAGTCATTACAAAGGATTGGCATTTTAAAGTTTCTGTTACTCAATACTCAGTTGGAGAAAACTGTCTTAGTGATGTGGGAAAAGGGGATCACTTATTTAGAGTCATAGAGATACACAGCATGGAAACAGACCCTTCAGTTCAACTCATCCACGCCGACCAGATATCCTATATAAATCTAGTCCTATTTGCCAGCATTTGGCCCATATCCTTCTAAATCCTTCTTATTCATATACCTATCTAGATGCCTTTTAAAATGAAATAATTGCACCAGCCTCCAGCACTTCGTCTGGCAACTCATTCGATACATGCAGCAACCCCTCAGGTTGCCCCTCAGGCCACTTTTAAATCTTTTCCCTCTCACCTTAAACTTATGCCCCCTAGTTTTGGACTCCCCCATCCTGGGGAAAAGATCTTTTCTATGTACCCCATCCATGCCCCTCATGATTTTATTAATGTCTATGAGGTCACCCCTCCGCCTCTGATGCTCCAGGGAAAATAGCCCCAGTCTATTCAGCCTCTCTCTATAGCTCAAACTGTCCAACCCTGGCATCATCCTGTTAAATTTTTTCTGAATCCTTTCAAGGTTCACAACATTCTTCCTATAGCAGGGAGACCAGAATTGCATGCAGCGTTCTAATAGTGGCCTAACCAATGTCCTATAAGCTGCAACATGACCTCCCAACTCCTAATGCATTGACCAATAAAGTTGCAGTTGATGTTTGTCCAAAGGCATTAGGAATCAGTTTATGTACAGCATTTTAACTACCACTCTTCTACAGTGTTTTACTTACTGGTAACAAAACCAGAGAAGGTCCAGTTGATCCAACCACCAATAAGGATCATAGGAAGTACATTGGTCACATTGCCCTTCATCATATCCATCACCATAGTGGGGTCTGAAAATATGAAATGAAGAGATAATAAGCTTCAGTCTCATCTCCTTTATAAGCAAAAACCCTTGCTCAGGTACCATTTCTACAATAGTTGGGAGCCACATTGTGACTTTAAACAGGCACGCCCCCAATGTTAGGTTAAAAACTGATCATTTCAATTGATTTGTTTTCGTGGGAAACAAGGGGTATGAATCAACGTTCTACAATTTCACACAGAAACTTCATAAAAATCAAGGCTGACATTATAATGCAATGTTGAGAAAATGCTACACAGTCTTTCGCATGTGACATTAAACAGATGCCTCACCTGGTCCCTCAAGTGAATGTACCATTTTGAATAGGAGGAGGGGAGCTACTCCCTTGCTCTGACCAATCCACCATTCGACATTACTAAAGCAAATGATACAGTCATGGTCACACTGCTGATGGTGGGACCTTGCTGTGTGTATATCGGCCGCTACATCTTCCACATTCAGGTGTGACGATACTTCAAGAGTACTAAATGAAAAACTAAAAAACTGCAGATACTGGAAATGAGAAGCAAAAACGATGCTCTCTCTCCACAGATGCTGCCAGACCTACTGAGTTTTCCCAGTAATTCCGGTTTTTGCTTTGAAAGTACATCACCAAAAAGTACATTGTAATGTCCTGTGGTAATGAAAGGTGTAAAATAAACGCATGTCCTAATTAGTTTATTAACATACTGCATCATTCTGGTTAATAAAATTCCAGTTATTAACCCTGTAATACATTACTGAAAATAACAAAAATAGAAATTGCTGGAAGAACTCAGCAGATCTGGCAGCATCTGTGGAGAGAAAGCAGAGTTAACATTTCAGGTCCATTGACCCTTCTTCAGAACTGATTGTAGTTAGGAAAAGGTTGGTACATGCTGAAGATGGGGTGGGGTGAGGGAGGGGGAGGGGGAAGGCCAAGAATAAATGATAGGTGGAGATGGACGTCAGAGCTAGAGAAAAACAGTTGGCCAGACAAAGAAATGGGTAAAGGTCAGCCTAGGAGAATAAATAGCTACTAAAAGGGGTGGGGTGGGATGGGGTGGGGTGGGGTGGGGTGGGGTGGGGAGAATGCTCTCCCATCCCTATTTTCAGCATATGTACCAACCTTTTCCTGGCTACACAATCAATCAGTTCTGAAGAAGGGTCACTGAACCCAAAACATTAACTCTGTTTACTCCACAGATGCTGCCAGACCGCTGAGTTTTTTTCCTGCAGTTTCTGTTTCTGAATTCCAGAATCCACAGTTTGTTTTTTGTTTAGCACCGAAAACAAACATCCTATTTTGTTCCTCCTAACAGGAGAACAGTGCACATCTGAAAATGATGGAGGTTTCTCCATCATTGTACAGGATTCCCTGATGCAACAAATATTTGTTTACAAGCCATCACGTGCCTTTCTCATCAACCATTATGCTAAATGTACAGTTTTGACTATCAAATAACATGAAGGCAACAACAGCATCTTGCAAGAGGAAGTAGATGCAGGTTGAAGATAAAATTTACGTATTCCTAGTTAACATTGACGTGCAAGCAGATATTTCTTGAAAAATCTCACGTTTTACCATGAAAATGCATGTACAATTATTACAACTGTGCTAATTACATTTTCTGCTGTATAAATTGATAAGAGCCTGTCCAGAAAGAGATGGCTTGTGCAGAGCTCTTTTTAGAATTCATTCACAGGATGCGAGTTTTGCTGGTTAGGACAGCATTTACTGTGCATCCGTAATGACCCAAAGGGCAGTTAAGAACGAAACACATTGCTGTGGGTCTGGAGTCACATGTAGGCCAGATCGGTAACGATGGCAGTTTCCTTCCCTAAAGGACATTAGTGAACTAGGTGGGTTTTTCTGACAATCAACGATGGTTTCATGGTCATCAATAGACCCTTAATTCCAGATTTTTTTTTGTTGAATTCACATTTCATCATTGGCCATGTTGGTATTCAAACATTACCTGGGTCTCTGGATTAGCAGTATAGCAATAAGGCAACTAGGCCTTCAACTCCCCATCTCCCCTTGGTAAAGCACATGAAATTCCTTGCCTGTGACTTTATAAATCAAGGTTAGATAAAGACAGAAATGTTGGAAACAAAACAGGTCCATCAGCGTTTGACGAGGAAAATATATGTTGAATGTGTTAGCTGTAGGTTTTTTGAAAGTAGTCAAAATCATTTGAAATGCTGGACTTGGTGCCCCACATTTTTTTTTCAGTCTTTATAGAAATCAGGATGATTTAGGTAAAAGTTCCAATACATTCTGACCACAAACTGGTAAAGGATGATGGAAATGTAATGTGAGCTTCAAAGGGCATAAGTAAACAATTAGCAACAACCTGACCACTATTTTTCATTTTATTGCTTTCAAATTCTTCAACTAGCTCAGTCATGGGCTTTTTAAAAAATTACATCATTGTTAAGAACTAGCATATATAGTCACTAAATCTCAAGAGCAGCCACCATTGTTTTCTAGGCAATGTGAAGCCAACTTGCTTTATAAGGTTTCCATAAACTGAAATTAGATGAATTACTATATAATTTTTTTTTGAGATGGTGGTTAACAAACCATTGTCTAAGGTCTTTCTGCCAAAGTATAACAATGTATGTAAATAGTGTCTTGCATTACTAAGAAGGGCCTTCGGTTTTCGCTAATGTAGGGAATGTCAAGTTCCAATGTTTTTCTTGATATGCAAGGATTGTACAGACTGTTTTGTGCTTGTGGATATAGATAAAAGATTTTATGAATAAATTATATTTTTGCAATAAAAAAGTTGGTTAATGTAATGAAAGAATACTCCTCTTTTTCAAAGATTTCTATATCATCCTTTACAGTCACCTCAGTTTAGATCTCTCATGAAAGAGAGACTACATATCCTCTAAACAAAGAAAAAAACCACAATACCAGTCATGGGGGAAGGTGGAACAACTTTTCTCTTGGTCTTCTTGAAAAATCCATCATCTGGGTTGTTAAAATAATATTTCCTTGTGAGGAAGGACTGGAAATTTAAAGAAGAGAGTCAGGTCAAAGTGTAGATTGTAAGTACACACGAAAAGCAAAAATTGCTCACGAGAAATATACAGAAAGAATCCAATCCATATAGAAACCTGAATACAATATTTATATAAATGATTTGGATGTGAATGTAAGAGGTTAGTAAGTTTGCAGATGACAATAAAATTGGAGGTGTTGTGGACAGCGAAGAAGTTACAATGGCATCTTGATCAGATGGGACAATGGGTCGAGGAGTGGCAGGTGGAGTTTGATTTAGATAAATGGGAGATGCTGCATTTTGGAAAGGCAAATCAGGGCAGACTTCTACACTTAATGGTAAGTGATACTGAGCAAAGAGACCTTGGAGTGCAGGTTCATAGTTCCTTGAAAGTGGAGTCACAGGTAGATAAGTTGGTGAAGAAGGCATTTGGTATGCTTGCCTCTATTGGTCAATGCATTAAGAATAGGAGTTGGGAGGTCACGTAGCGGCTGTACAGGACATTGATTAGGCCACTTTTGGAGTACTGCATGGAATTCTGGTCTCCCTTCTATAGGAAGAATGTTGTGAAACTAGAAGGGGTTCAGAAAAGATTTACAAGGATGTTGCTAGGGTTGCAGGGTTTGAGCTATAGGGAGAGGGCTGAATAGGCTGGGGCTGTTTTCCCTGGAATGTCAGACGCTGAGGGGTGACCTTATAAAATCACGAGGGGCATAGATAGGGTAAATAGGCAAGGTCTTTGCCATGCCAGGGAAGAGTCCTAAACTAGAGGTCAAAGATTTAAGGTGAGAGGGGAAAGATTTAAAAGATGCCTAAGGGGTGACTTTTTCACGCAGAGGGTGGTGCATATATAGAATAAGCTGCCAGAGGAAGTAGTGGAGGGTGGTACAATTACAACATTTAAAAGGCATTGGATGGGTACACGAATAGGAAGGGTTTAGAGGGTTATGGGCCAAATGCTGACAAATGGGACTAGATTTATACAGGATATTTGGTCGGCATGGACAAGTTGGACCAAAGGATCTGTTTCCGTGCTATGTGTCTCTATGACTCTATTAAGGTATTTTGTTTCAATCCAGATCTGGCATTTTGAAGGATTACATAAAATTATTACTTTGGTTTATCCTGGAAATGAAACCTTTCAGTAAAAAAATCTCTACTGGCCCCAACTCTATCTATTCAGGGAAGACCCTACAGTTTTTTTGGGGAAAGTTGGTGGGGGTGGGGGTTTGGTGTGGAGAAGCTACTTGTAGGGTATCCATTACACATCGAGTATCTTCCAGTGGCCTAATACTCAACACCTGTCAGAAAGAATATTCACTCATGTTGGGAACAAAGGCAGGAAACAGAGATGAACATCTGGTCTTTGTGGCTTCATCATTCACTGCAGCCATGTTGAAGATGTGCATTGTATGGTCACTAGGTGAGGACAGGATTGGTTTTGCTTTGATTTTATTTTTTAAACAGCTCTTTGCATGCTACAGCCAGATGCAAAGATCAATGCATAGTCCTTAATTAGTTTATGTTAATGATGGGTCTCAAAATCACAAAATGGAAAATAAGAATGAATCCCTGCATCTAGTGGGTCACGTGTTACCACTGCTGTAAATTCATGTGTTTGGATGCCTAGCAAGAACAATACGATGCTGAAGCAGCCTATTAAATTATTCAATATCCACGCCAAGAATGGCAACTTAGACAAGTTTACTGAATTGCAACTGCCAGGTATACAGCCATATCACAGCACTTGCCACTGTATTCCACTTAAAAACTGAGAAAAAGCAAGGCCTTTAGAAAGCAGAAAGAATTTGAATTTTTTTTTCTTTATTCATTTATGGGATGTGGGTATCGCTGGCTAGGTAGCATTTATTGCCCATCCCTAGTTGCCCAGAGGGCAGTTAAGAGTCAACCACATTGCTGTGGGTCTAGAGTCACATGTAGGCCAGACCAGGTAAGGATGGCAGTTTCCTTCCCTAAAGGACATCATTGAACCAGATGGCCTTTTCCAACAACCAACAACGGATTCACGGTCATCATTAGATTCTTAATTCCAGATATTTTATTGAATTCAAATTCCACCATCTGCCGTGGTGGGATTTGAACCCAGGTCCCCAGAACATTATCTGGGCTTCTGGATTAACAGTCCAGCGTTAATACCACTAGGCCATCGCCTCCCCAAATTTATATTTTTGAACCAAAGGAGAGATTATTACAGATGGTAATAATGTTTCAGGATAAAATTTCAAAAACTGATGCATGAAAAATAAGTCAGAAATCACATGACCCCAGGTTATAGTCCAGATTTATTTGAAAACACAAGCTTCCAGAGCCTTACTCCTTCTTCAAGTGTTAGTGAGAGAGGTAGTTCGGATTCTAAACCAAACCAAAACACAAACAGACTCTAGACAAGACCTCACACCTAACATGCATTGTCTGACCTAAAATGTCACCTCCTCTTCACACGGATGAAATTTTAGTTTCCACGGGACAGTGGCTCGAAAGGAATTCAGGGATTTACATATACATATTAATCAATTAAAACCTTCTGATTAAAATGCAACAGCATCTTAGGCTTGTTTAGTACATCCTCATCAGTGGTGTGACCCTTTGATCTTTTAGTATAAATTCTGTGTCTGATACCACTTCTCTCACTAACAGCTGAAGGAGGAGCAAGGCTCTGAAAGCTTGTATTTTCAAATAAACCTGTTGGATAATAATCTGGTGTCGTGTGATTTCTGACCTTGTCCACCCCAGTCCAACACTGGCACTGCCACATCATGAAAAATAGACGGATACATTGGGCCTCGCTGATCATCTTATAATGAATCAAGAACTGAGGAGAAATAAGCCAGATACCTACCTACCATAAAGACTTCAAAATAAAATTTCTTTTACTATATTTAACAATGACAGTGGCTCAAAACCAAACATTATTTGAGTGTTAAATCTACTCATCCAAGGATCAAGGATTTATTTTTCTTTGGGACTAAGTAAAGAAGCTAAGAGTCACCTGTTTTGGGATATATCTGCCATTTTCCCTCAGGATTCTACTTCTGATCAGAACTTGACTGCAAAAAAAAACAGAATACATAGTAAGTGCAAAGGAAATTGAGGTTGTGTCAGACAGATGAAAATATCAAAATTTGCACAAATAATTTGGTAACCTTCAAAAACATCATGCGTTATTCATTTGTGATATAAGTACTGATACCGAATCTTGGTTAGTCAGTAATTTATTAAAAATAACTATTCCCCTTTTTGAGCTTTTAATTTCAAATAACTAAAATAAATTAGATGACAGCATAGATACCAGCATAGAAAGTGCATGGTACACAATAGAATATAATGGTGCATATATAAAAAAAATGAAGATTGGTTTTAGGGGACATAACATGGGTTCAGTGAGCATTAGCTTGCCATGCCAGTAAATTTCTTTCATAAACTGTTAGGTGTGCAGCTTGCTAATCTTCTTGTACTCCAATTCTTTTAATTTGGCACAGGGTCCATCCAGGGCTTATTCTATGTTAGCTTTGCACTACAACTGAGCACAATTTTTGAAAATGCTGTTTGAAGTACATCGTTTCATTCACAAATTATCCTCTAATGTACAGGTAGTTCTCCTATAACACGATAGTTGCGTTCTTGTGCAACCTCATGCTATAGAAAATCACTGTTTCTGTTAACTACTGGCTGGAATTATTCTATGGCTCCACAAGTTTTTTTTTTAATAAAACTGTGGTAGCTCTTGAGAATCAAATCTTGTTTCAAACTTTGACTACCAAATAAGTTTATTTAAAAAAGTAAAGAAACAAATCAGAGCACTCTCCTCACTCACCTTTAAAGAAAACCCCATGTCCCACTTAATTTCCATAATGGTGACATGGCAGTGTACTAAGAAATTACTGGAAGATGACCTGAAGTAAGACCTTTCAAGAACGGGCCTGTTGGCAGCACACGATCAGGAAGGAGAGATCCCATCCAGAGCAAGACACAGTCCAAGTGAGTATATAGTTCAGGGAGTTTGGTGGCCCTGTGGGAATTCTGTGCAGAGGAGAACGAGGTGCTTTTTTGGCTCATAGTTTGTAAGACAGGACAACTGAAGACCAGGATCAGGGACCCAGTACAAAAGAACGACAAAGATAAATCGTAAGTTCATTGGTTGGTGATAGCTATTAATTTGACTATTATAGGTTATTTTCACATTGAAGATAAAGAGGGGATATGTTTACAGGCTACAAAAAAAGTTTTTTTTAAAAAAAATCAAATAAAGAAATAAGGAATTAAAATAAAGAAGCTTGGCAAGATAATGCATTGTAACTGCATGATGTGGCAGCTGGTGGACCCCACTGTGATTCACAGTGACCACATCTGGAGCAAGTGTTGGTTGCTTGAGGAACTGGGTTCAGAGTTGACAAGCTGGAGTCTGAGCTTTGAACACTGTGACACATCAGGTAGGGTAAGTGTTATCTTGATGCTGTGTTTCAGAGAGCAGTCACACCCCTTAGATTAACAACGTAAAATTCAATCAGTAGTTGGAGATAGGAGGGTGTGACTGAGTGAGGCAGGTAGAGGAATCCAGGAGGTAGTGCTGCAGGAAACTCAGCCCTTGATCTGTCTAACACGTTTGAGATTCTTGTTCCTCTGTGAATGAGAGTGGGGACTGTAGGGAGGATGAGTAAACTGACCACAGCACCATGGTACAGAGAGCCAGTCAAGAGGGAAGAGAAAAGAGAAATGTAGTTGTAATCAGGGAAATAGACATTGTTTTCTGTGGCCAAGATCAAGAGTCCTGAAGACGGTTTTGCCTCCCTGGCACCTTGGTTCAGGATATCTCATCTGGGCTGCAGAGGAACTTGGAGTGGGAAGGGAACATCCAGTTGCTGTGGTCTATGTCGGTACCAATGATATAGATGGAAAGAGGAAAGAGAAAAGAGATTCTGTCAAGGGAATATGAGCAGCTAGGAGCTAAATTACGAAGCAGAACCAAGAAGGTGATAATCTCCAGATTATTACCTGAGCCACGAGCAAATTGGCACAAGGTTAACAAGATTAAAGAGGTAAATGTGTGGCTCAGAGATTAGTGTGGAGAAACAGCTTTGAATTCATGGGACATTGGCACCAGTATTGGGGAAGAAGGAATGTGTTCCTATTGGACAGACTCTACCTGAATCGTGATGGGACCAGAATCCTTGCGAATCATATAAGTAGGGCTGTGGATCGGCTTTAAACTAAATAGTGGGGGTGTGGGGGGTCAGTTGCTTGGAAAATAAAGTTAGTGGGGGAGGCTCAGAGGTTAAAAAGTTTCCAGAACAGGTAATGGAACACAGGGTAAGGAAAGGGTCAGGAATGTAACTCCAGGCACAGCAGATAAAGGGACAAGTATGAAAAGGGTGGGGATTTTGGGGGAAGGGGGAAATAAATCTGGAGGTAGTTCCTTTCTTACATGCCTTTTCTATTACAATAATCAGGGAGGACTTAAATATGCAAGCAGATTGGGAAAATCAGACTGGTAGTGAATTTCAAGAAAAGGCATTGGTGGAATGAATTTTTTGGAGCAGTTCTGTGATAGACCTCACTAGGAAACAGGCAATTCTGGATTTAATGATGTGCGATGAGGCAGATGTATTTAGGGAGCTGAAGGTGAAGGCACCCCTGAAGGCAGTGACCATAATATGACTGAATTCACCCTGCAGTTTGAGGGAGAAGATTGATTTAGATGTAATGGTATTACAGTTGAGTAAAGGTAACTACAAAGACAGGAGGGAGAAGCTGTTGTATGAAGAGTCAGGCTTGAGGGGCCAGCTGGCCTAATCCTATTTCTTATGTGATATAGAAGCAACTTTATGTTTGCTTTACTGCCAGCCACTTAAAAGTGACTATAATATTGTCACAAATGCAACCAGGCCACTGAAACGATTATCATTCCCAGAGTGAACAGCACTTTGTTCGACCTTGAACATGGAAGAATAACACCATTTTAAAAAAATGCTCAACATCATTGACAACTTCGCATCCATTCAGCACTGCAGAATGATTTGATTCTTCAGATGTCATGTGAAATTAAGGGTTAAATACATTAATTTGACAGATTTTAAAAATCTCTGCAACATTCCTACTTTCATCAGATAAGACAGATCAAATTGTCATTCATATCATTGTTTAAGACCATGCCATAACAAAAACAACTGCCACATCTGATGGAACAGCCACTGTGCTTTTAGGGACACAGGAAGGCACTAAGTTCAAGTATTTCTTTACGTTTCACCAACTGAACTATTCCAAGGAGTCACAATACAACAGTTTAGTACAGGTTTCACAAGCAAGGCCAGAGTTTTCATGAAACAACTGCACTAAATGGAAGATTTAAAGGTCTGACAGAAATCACCAGTCGTTAAAGTAGTTCATTTATCTCAGACAAATACAGTGGCAAAAGATTTTGACTAAAGTACTTTGAAATCCTACCAACAATTCAAATTTTAAAAAAAAGAGTTAAGCAAACCAAAAAGTACGCAAATATACGCAATCATAAACTGAATAAAGAACATCTTTACTCCAGCGATAGAGTTCAAGATTAAATACAAGGTTCAGATAAGCTTTTAGAGTAAAACTAGTTCCATACATTTTTTGAGAAGATTTGTAACTCGGGTTGTGGATGAGGTTGTAGATTTGCTCGCCGAGCTGGTGTGTTTGACTGCAGACGTTTCATTACCCTGCTGGGTAACATCGTCAGTGCGCCTCCGGTGAAGCGTTGGTGTTCTGTCCTGCTTGTTAGTTATATGTCTTGGTTTTCTGGGGTGGTTGGCATTCCGTCCGGTTCTGTTTTTCAATGGTTTGTATATCGG